CAGATTATGCATAAACATCCACAGAGGCAAATACTCTTTTTTTGTTGTTGTTGGTTTTTCGAGACAGGGTTTCTCTGTATTGCTTTGGAGCCTGACCCCTGGAACTCACTCTGTAGATTAGGCTGGCCTGGAACTCACAGGATCCACCTACCTCTATCTCCTGAGTGCTGGGATTAAAGGTGTGTGCCCCCAGTGCCCAGCACAGACACATTAAAATAAAAATAAAATATATATATATATATATATATATATATATATATATATATATATATATGTAATTGCTTTCCTGGATTGCAATCCTTTAAAAATTGTGAAACTTTCCCAAAAGATATAAGAAAGCCACATTAATCAACACAGTTACAGCATTCAGAAAGCAAAAATTATTAGACATAAAAAGATAAATATGACAGGTGGTAGTGGTCCACACCTTTAATTCCAGTACTTGGGGAGCAAAGCCAGGCAGAACTCTTTGAGTTCAAGGCCAGCCTGGTCTACAGAGTGAGTTCAGGACAGCCAAAGCTGTTACATAGTGAAACCCTGTCTTGAAAAACAAAACAAAAATTCAATACATAAAAATATAACAGAAAAGTAAAAATTTTATTTCTCCCAGTCATAGAGAACAAAGGTAAGTAGCAAGTAAATAAATGACAGCATAATAAAAAATGGTAGCTCTGATGGAAATTTAATTTTATCTTAACAAATATACTTTATTTTTGAAGAAAATATTAAAGTATCAGAAGTACTGGCCACTTATTGGGCTATACAAACTACTTAAATTCTAAACAGAGAACTCCAAGGCAGATGCAGAGGCATGCACCTGTATCCCAGCTGTGGTAGGACAGAGGGGGAGCCTCACTTAGGCCCAGGAGATCAATACAAGCCTGGCAACATAGCAATACCCTGTCTTAGTTCTCAAAGCCAGGGGTGGTTCCCTGAGCCGGTAATCAGTAATCCAAGCTGTTCTGAAGGCCAAAGGAGTTCAAGTCACCCTGGACAAATTATCAAGACTGTCTCAAAATAATTTTTTTCTTTTTCTTTTTTTTTCGAGACAAGGTTTCTCTGTGTAGCCTTGGCTGTCCTGGAACTCACTCTGTAGACCAGGCTCGCCTTGAACTCACAGAGATCCACCTGCCTCTGCCTCCTGAGTGCTGGGATTAAAGGCAGCATGCTCCTCCACTCATACAATCGAACATATACACACATACAAAATATAAAAGGATATTTAAGATTTTTTTTAAATAACTGAGAACAACAAAAAAAGACATCATATTCTCTGATTAACATCATGTGGAAACTAGAAATTTATAGAAAGCAGATCTAAAATTTAAAAAGTCTCAGAGGAATAAATAAAAACACTAATAAAAATTCAAAAAATCTCTCAAACAATATGGATTAGAGGGGTAATACAAATGAAGGTTGCACACCAGGTATTGGCGGTGCACACTTTTAGTCCCAGCATTTAGGAGGCAGAGGCCAGACTGGTCTACAGGTGAGTTCCAGGGTAATCAGAGTCACAGAGGTTTCCCTGTCTTGAAACACCCAAGATAGATAGATAGATAGATAGATAGATAGATAGATAGATAGGTAGGTAGGTAGATAGATAGATAGATTAGATAGATAACAAAAATGAAGGCTGCAGTCCTAGAAATGATTTAGTGAAAACATTACAATACAGAGATTGTGCAGAAAAGCTCAGTAACCAGAAGAAAATTCATTGTTTTTTAATATTTTTACTGATGAGGAAAAAAGTTCAAAAAGGTAGGAAAATAACTTTAATTTAGCTAACCAAAGAAGTAATCTTATAAGATGAAAGAGAAATTATAGAAAACAAAGCTAGAAGAACTAAAATAATTAAACAAAAATTAGGATTTCTGCCCGGAGCGGGGTGGGGCGGGGTGGGGCGGGGCGGAGCCAGTGGTGGGGTTTGGAGAGATGGCTCAGTGACTCCTGCAGAGGTCCTGGCTTTGATTCCCAGCACCCACATGGTGTCTTACAGCTGTCTGTAACTGTGGTCCCAGGGGATCCAACACACTCTTCTGACCTCCAAGGACATTAAACACGCAAGTAGAGCATAGGCATCCGTTCAGGCACAAAAACCACCCATACATTTAAAATAATAAAATAAATCTAAATAAGTTTTAAAAATCAGTTGACTAAACTGCTAGCCACTAATCAAAAAAAAAAAAAAAAAAAAAAAAAAAGGAGAAAGCACAAATATACAAAAGTAAAAAATAGGGGAAATGACAGAAATAGAAAAAGTTTGAAATGAGAAAAACTTTTATAAAATTCCATACATTAAATAAAATATGGGTAAAATAAAAATTTTATAGTAAATAAATGTGACTTATGAAAAGTACTCAGGGAGAGCCTGGATACTGATATTTTAAAATAAGAGTGCCAGATCTCATTGAACTCAAGTTTAGAAACAGGTGTGAGCTGCCATGTGGGTGCTAGGAAATGACCCTGGGTCCTCTGGAAGAAGAGGCAGTGCTCTTAACCGTTAAGCCATCTCTCCAGCTCTTTAACATATATTCTTGATTGAAGTACTTATGAAAATAGGACAGCAGTGCTCTTTAACAACAATAGAACAGATGTTCCTAACATAATAATAATAACATGCTTATGTGCGGAACACTTAATTGAGAAACATTTCTCCTAAAATGAGGAATAAAAAGAGGACAATCATTGATGTTTGCTACTATCCTATCTAAATTAGTGAACATAATCTGACAAGAAAAAAAAGAGGCAGATCATATGACTGTAACCTAGAAACATCAAGAAAATCACTTGAAAAAATACTGTAAGTATGAAATTCAATAAGGCAGAAAGTTACATATAGAACTTAAAAGCCTTCGTATTTAAATAAGAACCAGTTACATTACGTAAAAGTACCATTAATGTTAAACCCACTCAATAGCAACAATATGCAAAAAATACCCAGGAATAGCAAGATTAAGTAGGCTGGACGTGAGGAAAATCTTATAACTTTTCTGAAGCAACAAAATTTTAATTTAATTGATGATATAATGAGATCTTAGTAAAAATAACCTATCTTCTTACACAATGGGTGAGGAAACAGTATTTCTAAGGCTATATCATAAAACAAGTAAGAATGGTCTTGAAAATGTGAGAATAACCTTATCACACAAGTCACGAATAAGTGAGGTGTGTGTGTGTGTGTTTGTGTGTGTGTGTTTGTGTGTGTGTGTGTGTGTGAGCCACCAAACAAGAACCAGTTTCCAAAAATACAAAACAAGACAAAATACACTTAAAACAGCAAGTCTGATTGGCAAAAAATCTAAGAGTTTGAAGACACACATAAAAAGGAAACAAGTATTCTAATTAGTAGATGAAAAACACAAGCTTTACAGAGGGGAATCTAGAAATATCAGTCTCTAGAAATTTATCTTACATATATGGAAAATAGTATTTAGAGATAGCAATAAAATAGTAATAAAAATAAAAAAATAAAAAAATTTCTAAGACACATATAAAGGGACCAGGCTAAATAGTGTCTCTCATTATTTTCACAAAGGAAAAACTGCTAAAAAAAAAAATAATAATGAGGAAACTGTATTAGTCTGTAAAGATCCAGGGATCCATGGAGGGATGGCTAATACCAGATACTAAGCAAGAAAGATGATGAACCTGGAATACATTGCTGTGCCAGGAAGCAAAGGAGGTGAATTATCAACTGGACACTGTACCTTAGAATTCCACTGAATGAAAAAAGAATAGAATGAGAAAAGTCACCAGTTTGTAATTTCTAGTACAATAAATGACTTGGGAGCAATGATAAATGACTGCAACATCAGTAACTACCAAGTTTGATTGGGGTTTATAAAGGTGAGACCTCTGAACCCACTTACTGTTTGTTCTAAGGAGTCAACTTTGCACCACAATTAGGACCCCCTAGTACTTGACTCCAAGTAGAACACCTCTCTCTCTCTCTCTCTCTCTCTCTCTCTCTCTCTCTCTCTCTCTCTCTCTCTCTCTCTCTCTCTGTGTATGTGTGTGTGTGTGTATATAACTCACTTTCTACCCAAAGTGGATTAAACTTCTAGGGATAACTTATTTTCAGAAAATACAGGAAATAGAGAAAGAAGTCATAAGAAAATAAAAGACAAACACAGACTTGGGGATATTCTACAACACAGTTTCAGTAAGAAGTCAATAAGATTTTAAAAAGAAGAGGAGGATGGGGGAAGGAATGTGATATGTAAATCTTCTTTATGTTTTGAGTCAAATCTATTAAGTAGAAAAAGACATATTTGGAGCCATCAAGGAAATATGATCTTGGGTTGGGAATTGGGGAATACAAATTTTCTTTTCTTTTGAATTTTATTACATTTAAAAAAATGACATTGCTAATGAGTAAGAAAATATCCCAATTTTAGTGGTGTATGTTGTAGGGACAAAATAACATGCTGTCCTAGGATGTGACTTAAAATATTTGCAGAGGAAGAAATATAGATATATTAACAAAAAAAAGAAAGACCCCTGACAAAATGAATAATGGCTGTATACATATGGCAGTTCAACATGTTATATTTTTACTTATATATTAGTTTAAAAATATTTGTAGAAAGCACCTAAAAATGACTACAATTAGTAGCAAATTAAGAACAGGAAAACCTGGGTATGGTCACTATGACCAATATATTTCTCTTAACATATGAATTTTATAATTAAATGCTAACTTAAGAGTGAAGATAATACAAGTAAATTATTGGTAAGATAAAATTCTCAAATGATATATCACGGCTCTTACAATTTTCATGTGCCTGCCTCAAGTTTAGTAGCATTATTAGACAGGTTCTGCATAAAGGATGTACAAATGAAATATAACAAAAAATATTAAGGTTTTATTAGGCTGTTATAATATATAATACAAGTATTACTTTAAGATACCAATTCATATAACTATATAAATAAAGCCACATATGCATGGATTATAGAAATAGACTACCCAATTTAGAATGTGGGTTTAGTTCCCTTACCATCAATATTTAGCATCATTTTCCACATGGCAGGCCGAACAGACTGATGGAATCCAAACCATACTTCCCTGCCCCCTCCCAGAGGGTGGTCATATCCTTCTGGAGCTGAGAAAAAGGAACGCCCCACAGGTGTATATCTACAAAAGAAAATGGCACGTTCAATCCTTTTCTACTAACACTAACACTAATACTAATACTTAAGTCTGCAGGACAGGTGACATGAAAGCAAAGACAATTAACTTATTACAATGATACTTATGATTATAAATACACATAAAAGCAAAGAGTTATTCTAAATGAAGAAATTCATCAATCCTTTCTGAAACTGTCTATTTTCAGAATCTGTTAGTTTACAAGTTAATATGTTTTCAGAATCTGTTAGTTTACAAAGTAGTATGTTTTACCTTTTTTTTTTTTTTTTTTTTTTTTTTTTAAACTGAGTCTCACTGTGTAGGTCTGGGCAGCCTAGAACCCACTATGTAGACTAGGCTAATCTCAAACTCACAGAAATCTGCTTGCCTCTGCCTTTCACATGGCTGGAATGGAATTAAGGATGTGTGCTACCTCACTTGTCCCTTAAAATACTTTCTTAAAAATAAGAGCATTGCAACTTTAAAACATCAAAGTTATTTCTACAAACATGTCTCAAGGTAGCTATACTAATTGTTTCAAAGATATTTATTTACCATATATAAGTCCAGAAGTATGAAGTGGTAGTGTGATTTTAAACAATAGTACCTCTCATTCCTTTTTTCCCATGCAGGACTTCATGTGTGCTGGGCAAATATTCCAACCTGAACTCTATCTCCAGCCCAAAAGCAGCAATTTCAACACAAACTGACACTATTATTTAAGACTCATAGGTCCTAAGAAAAAAGGGTTAGAAATTTCTCTGTGAAGTAATAAACTAGATTAGTTAAACTAATGATGTATATTTTACATGCTATTATAGTACAAATGAAATAATGAAAAGCATAGAACATATAACATATAAAGGTTAACTGAGGGAGGCCTATACTACTGACTCATAAGAAGAGACCCTTCATATTTAAAAATCTAAGATGGAGAAAAGCTAGAGCCACCTACTTCATGGAGGGCAGATGTCGTAGCACCACATCAACGGCATGGACTGGGTTAGTGCTGATGGGCTTGTCTAATTCCAGCGGCTCAGGCAAAGTCCGTCCCGTCAGTACTTCATGTAGTAGGTGCCAACTCACCCGAGACACAAATTTGACTGACACCTTGAAAGGCCGATCTTTTCCACCTTCCCCAGGTAACGTAACATCTAAATCTACCTGTTGATGGGAAAAGATCCAAGTGTAACATGTTGAAAAAAAGATAAATGTAAGTATTTTTAAATTTAACTTATAAAAAGACAACAAGCAAAAATAAAAAAATCTCAATGTCAAATTAATATACTAAAATTCAAATACACAGTTTATTCATGACAGTATTATTCATCACTCTAAAACGCTGAAAACTACTTAAATACAGTAACATTTAGGCAGCTATAAAAAAAAGATCTTTTGGAACTGTTATATGATCATTTTCCAGCCATATTATTAACAACCCACATACAAAAGACTACAGAAGACAATGTCTTTTGCATGAGAAGGGAAAATGAGAAAATACTCATGTATTTGCTTCCTATTGCAAAAAAGAAACACAAGGAAAAATGAACCAGGAACAAAGAAACTGGTTCATTTCAAGGCATAAGAGGGAAGGGATAGAAAGACGGGAGCCAGGCAGTGGTGGCACATGACTTTACTCCCCAGCCCTTGGGAGGCAGAGGCAGGAGGATCTCTGTGAGTTTGAGGCCAGCCTGGCCTACAGAGCTAGTTCCAAGACAGCCTCCAAAAGCTACAGAGGAACTCAAAAACAAAAGAAGGAAGAGAGAAAGACAGAAAGAGAGGGAGAGAGGGAGGGGGGAAGGAGGAAGGAAGGAAGCAGCAATATTTAGAGTATATTTTGGGAGATGGAGTCATAATCTTGACATTAGGAAGCAGTCTAAAATTCTAAATAGTCATGGGTGTCATTTCAGCTACTCGAGAGGCTAAGGCTGGAGAATCATTTGACTCACAAGTTCATATTAATTATCCCAGTACTCAGAAAGCAGAGGCAGGAATAAACGCGAGTTCAAGCCCAGTCTGGTTTATATAGCAAGTTCTAGGCCAAAACAAACAAACAAACAAACAAACAAAAAACAAAACAAGAAACCTCAAATTAGAAAGTCTCCAACAGAGATGTAGTGAATGTAATTGGCCCCATAAGCTTTTAGGGAGTGGCACTACTAGGGTGTGGCTTTGTAGGAGTAGGTGTGGCCTTGTGGATCAAAGATGTAGAGCTCTCAGCTCTTTCTGCCTGCATGAAGCCATGTCCCCAACATGATAATAATGGAGTAAACCTCTGAAACTGTAAGCCACCTAATTAAATGTTCTCCTTCATAAGAGTTGTCATGGTGTCTCTTCACAGCAACAGAAACCCTAACTAAGACAAGTGGAGAAAAAAAAATTGAAACTGAGCACCACAAACAGAATCAAATGAATATAAATGTATTTCAAATGAATAAAAAAAAAAAAAAAAAAAAACAAGAACAAGTTTGGGGTAATCCTGGTTCCAGGACAGCCCAGGTTAGAGTGAGACCTGATCTCAAATTAAGAAAATTTAAAAAGAAATAAGGTGTGTCATATCAAAAGAATACAAGAATCAGCCTAAAGGTGTGCCTATTGACTATATCTGGCACAAACTGTGTCAGATAAATAAACAAGATAAAAATATTCTTTTATCATGGAGGCAATAATCTCAAGTAAGAATCACCAATTGCTAGGGGGAAAAATGTACAAAGAAGATTCTTAAAAGTTATTTCCTGCATCAAAACTAAAAACTGTGCACCAAAGGGCACAACTGATGGAGGAAAGACAGTCTGTGGAATGTCAGAAAATATCTTTATAATTATATACATGAAGAGATGGGGTGATATATTGTTTGTGACCTAACAAATAAAGCTTGACTGAAGATCAGAGTGCACAGCTAGTCACACTAGTTAGCCACAGAGGCCAGACAGTGGTGGCACACACCTTTAATCCTAGCACTAGGGAGACAGAGAATCTTTGTTAGTTCAAGTGCACCCTGAGCTACACAAAATTGACCCAGTCTAAAACAAACAGGGCCCACACAAAGGAAATCCTAGCACTGAAGAGTCACACGCCTTTAATTCCAACACTAAGGAGGTAGAGACAGGAAGGGATATGACTGGGCAGAGAGAGGAATATAAGGCAGGAGGAGACAGGAGTTCATTGCCGTCTAGGCAGTCAGTCTGAGCATTCAGTCTGAGGATTAGTGGAGACAGGATTACCCTTTCAGTCTGAGGTAAAGGTAAGAGCTAGTGGCTGGCTGTTTTGCTTTAATTGTTAGATCATAAACAAAATATCACCACAAAAGAGGTTAGCATCTAGAACATTAAAAAAAAGTCAAACAAAACAAAAAAAACTCTTGCAACCCATTAACTGCAAAAACAAAGCCCAATTTAAAAAGTGGCTAAAATGCTTGAATGGACTTTTTCTTTTTTTTTAAGTTTTTAAAACTTAAAAACAGGGTTTCTCTGTGTAGCGTTGGCCACCCTGAAACTCACTCTGTAGACCAGGCTGGCCTCAAACTCACAAAGATCTGCCTATCTCTGCCTCCCGAGTGCACCGGTTTGAATGGACGTCTTGATGAACATAAAAATGACCAAATGAATACATGAAAATAAGTTTAATATCACTAACTTGGAGGAAATCCAAGCCACAATGAACCTGGGCCTGGTTGTATAGCCCCGTAATCCCATCTCCTCAGAAAGCAAAGGCAGGGAGTTTTGAATTAAAGATGCCATCCTTGTACTACACAAAGAGTCAAAGGTTAGGCCTGGGTTATACAATGAGATCTAAATGGTGTCTATCAACAGAAAAATAGATAAACAAAATGTGTTGTATTCATGTAATAGATTTATTACTCAGCCTTGAAAAAGAAAGAAATTCTAACATATGCTACACTATGGATGTAATTTAAGGACATGCTGCTGAGTGAAATTGGCAAGCCACAAAATAATAAATGCTTCATGATTCCACTTACTTGAGGTACCTATCAGTGTCAAATTCAAAGACACAAAAAGGAGAGTAGTGGTTACCAAGGTTCAATGGGTGAGGGCAATAAAGAGTGCTTAATGCAGAGGAGTGGATGGGGGGAGCAGGGGAGGGAATGGGAGGAAAAGGGGAAGGAAACTGCAGTCGGATGTATAAATAAAGAAAGAAATAAATTTAATTAAAAAAATAAAGAGTATTTAGTGGGTACAGAGTTTCAACTTAACAGGATAAAGATAGTTCTGGATGCTGCTGCTGACTATATAACACTGTACAGGTGCTTGACAGTACTGAATTGTACTTTTAAAATGATTAAAATATTATTTGTACTTAAGAAAAAAAACAATACTTCCCCTTAAGATACTAACTACAAGGAGAAAAAAGAATATCTTGGTAGGAAAAACAGACAAAAATCAACTTAACCAAGTGGTTGAAGTTACCATCACCATTAATAGAACAAACATATATTATGTACCTCTGGGTACAACTGCACTAATAACAGAGGAACACTTCTGCAATATTCTGGCCAAATTATATATAGACAAAATATAACCGGGGGAAGGAAATGACAAACACAACTCAGAAGCAGTCTAAAAATAACTTGCCTATGGTCTCCAATCATGTTTACATCATAGAAGAAAAGAAAAAGACTAGACAACTGTTCCATAATAAAGACTAAAGACATGTGCTGCCTACTAGCATGATCCTGGACTGGATTCTTTATCAGAGGACGAGAAGATGCTAAAGAACATAATTCAAACAATGGGCAAAACTAGAATATGGATTGTTGATTAGACAAAAGTATTGTACCAATATTAAATTCAATTAAGATGGTAAATATACTATAGTTTTTAATCTTTATTCTTAGAAAATAATGTATATTAAAGTATTATTAAGGGGGCATAATGTATGCAAACCAACTGTAAATGCGTTAATAAAAAGAAAGTATATATGTGTGTTTCATGAAAGAAAGAGCAAAAGAGAGTAAGAAAAATTCTAAAATCAGTGCAGCAAATGTTAAGGGACATTGGTGAATCTGAGTAAAGTGTATATGACTTTTCTGCATTGTTCTTGAGGATTTTCTGTAAGCCTGAAATTATTTCAACAGAAGTTGAAAAATGATCACATTAATATGGATTACAATTTAAAATGGTATCAGATCCTATAAAGGATAAAATGGATCTAGGGAGATAACTCAGCAGTTAAGAGCACTTGTTCTGGCAGAGGACCCAGGTTTAGTTCCCAGCACCCACATGGTTGCACACGACTAGCTATAACTCCTATTACAGGGGATATGACTCCCTTTTCTTGCACTGCATAACATGATTCACAGATGACATGCAGGCAAAACACTCATCACATAAGAATAAATAAATCTAAGAACAATAAATAAGAGGAGATATAGCACAAGTATAGCTTTACCATAAAGAAACAAAACTTACCCCAGTTGTTGCCACAGGAAGTGGATTGGCTGTGTAAAGGCTTCTTTTCCCATCATAAACTGGTCTACGGTCTCCAAATATAGTCACTTTAAAATGCTGAACCATTGAGTCAACAACTTCTCTAAGGAAGGGAAAAAACACACAGTCACATAATCCTCTGCCAGATGAAATGCAAAACTTTTACTGAAATAATTCCTGGCACTGTTCAATGACCTCAAAATAAGATTTTGCTTTCAGAACCATAGCTTAAGATAGCAGAAGATAGCAGAAGACTGACTGCTGGCAAAGGATGACACATATTTTCCAAAGACAAAAAGAAGAATGAGTCCAGTAAATTAATCATTTTGGGATACTGTTGACCAGAAACATATGATTAGAATTTAATTCAAAATCCTTTCATCTTCTCTAAGTACTCCCTGTTTATTTTTCTTTCTTAAACAGTAGTATGTTTTTTGCACTGTGCTAAAATACATCTTGTCTGTATCCCTATTTAGAAAAATCAGTATATTGTATCATTATTATATTCTTCATTCCTGCAGTGAGTTTCCTGAGAGCAACAAACACATCCATATTCCTTATCCTACCCACTTTTAACATCACCTAATCAGTGAGGAGCTTTGAAATGTCCAGCTGGGGATATAGCTCAGTGCCTCACATGCACAAAGCCCTATGATCACAAGACTTCCCCACCCTCCCCAGTACCACAAAAAACGAACTAAACTCTATTTTTCACTCAGCAAACATTGTGATCCCAATATATAGTAAGATTAAAAGGCATTAAGGGCTTACATTAAAAAATTATAGACTACAGAGAATTATACCAAATACCTACAAATCAATACATTATTTTACTCACAAATTCTTTTTCCTTTCATCCTTCCCTTTTGTTTTTTGAAAAAGTTTCTCTGTGTAGCCTTGATTGTTCTGGAACTCATTCTGTAGACCAGACTGTCCTCAAACTCACAGGGATCTGCCTGCTTCTGCCTCCTGAATGCTAAAATTAAAAGCATGTGCCACCACAGTCTAGCTTTACTCACGAATTCTTAAAGACAGTGAAAAGGTCTTAAAGACATTAAAAGGATACATGCCAATTTATGTATAGAGAGGAACTGTTTACACACTCTCAATACATCACAATGAGAGTACATGTGTACAGTACTGGTATGAATTAAATTAAAATCAAAAGATTAAAATCTAGCCCAGGGAAGTGGGAAGGAAAGGGAGAGATGGAAATTAGCATTTTCCAGAACAAAAAAAAAAAAAAAAGAAAAAGAAAAAAGAAAAAAAAGAAACCAAACTGACTTGATTCCAGAAAACCTTATACAGCAGAAAAAAAAAAATCTCTATTTTCCACCCTGCTTTTCAAAGTTTGTGTTTTACTGAAACTCTTTTAAATCAGTATCATTTCTTTAAGTAATATGATACCAAAGATTTGATTCACCTATCTGATTTGGGGTTCCTCAAATTTCAAAAATTTCTATTTAAAGTTTCTTTTTGTGAGCCAGGCAGTGGTGGCACTCACCTTCAGTCCTAGCAATCTTTAATCCCAGCAGTTAGGAGGCAGAAGCAGACTTCTTGGAGTTCAAGGCCAGCTTGGTTACAGAGTGAGTTCCAGGACAGCCAGGGCTACACAGTAAAAGTTTCCTTTTGTAGCCATTCTTATAAAGTCCATTTTTTATATACCATAAAATAAGTGACATAAGATCTTATTTGTTAGATATGTTTACTTAAAAAAAAAAAAAAACTCAACTGCTTTTAAGCTTACCAACTCCTAGAAGCCCAAACCACTTGAAACCTCAAAATGTGGAGGGGACTGATATGGAAGGGCCAAAATACTTCAGAGATAAAAGTATCCTGATTTGATTTGATATGTAGCACACAGTATTATTTCCTTAATAAATTTTCTAGCAGTGGACAGTTGATCTGCTTCAGTGACCTTCTAAAACAGAGTGGAAAACATCTAAAGCTGAATTCAACAGCTTTACTCGAGTTAAATCTGGTTTTATTTTCTTATCACTTCTATTTAATTAATGGTGCCTCTGGGCTTCCTCAATACCCAAATTTGAGTGAAACCTGGCCGATCTCTTTCCCTCACGACTTGCTGATTCTACCTCTGTAGCATTAGTAACTAGTCTTTACTTTCCACTCTGAATTACCACCACCTTAGAGTAAGACCTTAGTCCTACAACTTGAATTACTTAAGTTTTTTGTTTTTAATGCCTTTAGTTTTTTTTTCTTCTCCAATCCAACGTACTGCTAAATAGACTCCTACACAATACTTCCATTCCTAAAGTACAACAGTCTATGTTAGTATGTTAGGGTTGGGCATGGTGGCTCATACCCTTAATCCTAGCACCTGGGAGATAGAGGCAGGTGGTTCTAGGCCAGCCTGGTGTATAGGGAAGGAAATAAATAAATAAATAAATAAATATAAATAATAAAAAAAGAATTAATCTTTCTTGTCAGTTCTTGCCACATAACCCCCCCCCACAACTGACTTCCTGCCATCTCCATAGTCTGTCCCCATTCTCCCAAGTTTATTCCTTCTGATGTGCTTGATAAACCATGTATTCTTATGTGTTCTTAACTTTACCTTCTAAACTTGATTTTTAAAAACCCATTCACATTGCTGTGGCAAGATCAGTTTCTTTTAAATAGTTATTTTTCAAAATTATTTTCAAAGGCTTCATCTATGTGGTGGTTTGGAAGCAAATGGCCCCCAAAGGGACTGGCATTATTAGGAGGTGTGGCATTGTTGGAGGAAGTGTGCCAGTTAACTTCCTGTTGCCTGCAAAATGTAGCCCTCTCAACTCCAGCACCACTGCTGTGGAATAATCCTTTGTGCACTGTGAATATGAATTACTCTCATTGGTTAATAAAGGACAATAGCTAAACAGGCTAAAGCCAAACTGAAAATGCTGGAGAAGGGTGGAGTCAGAGGGTCACCAGTAAGCATAGAGGGAACCATGATGGGGGATGGACTGTATGCTATGAATATGTATTTCTCTTATTGGTTGATGAATAAAGTTGTTTCGGCCAATGGACAGGCAGGATGTAGCCAGGCAAGAAGTATAGGCGGGGCTACCAGACAAGGAGAATTCTGGGAACTGGAACACAGAGAGTGAGTCAGAGGGGAGACTGATGCCTTGTAGCTAAGGGAAGGTAGGACCCCTAGGCATTCTCTGGTAAACCAAGACCACTTGGAAATGGGCTAATAATTAAGAGAGAGCTAGCCAACAAGAAGACTTAGCAATCAGCCAGTTTATAATTAATATAAGCCTCTGTGTGTTTATTTGTGACTAAAGAGCCACATCACCAGGCTGGACAGAAACTTCCATCTACAGAGCCACCACATGGCAGAGTGTAAATAAGAAATATGGGTTAATTTAAAATGTAAAACTACTAATGTCCCTGTTATTAGGTAACATTTTATCTGTCTGAGGTCTTTGATGGTGTTAAAGACTAAATAGTTAAAGTTTTCCTTAGTTATAATAAAAAGCAAATTAGATATAAAACTTTAGATTCACCAAGATTAGATAATAGAATATTTTCTCTAATTTTGCCAAATACAAATAGACTGGATATTGTAACTATAATTCTTACTTGATAACTGTTTTTGTTGTATATAATTTTACTACGTTAAAGTTAAAACCTTCCTTTATAATTAGACAAAAAGGAAGAAATGTTGTGGAATAATCCTTCTGTATACTGTATGAATATACGTCACTATGATTGGTTTAATAAACAAGCTGAACAGGATAAAGTTAGGTGGGAAAGCCAAATTGAGAACAATGGGATGAGGAAGGGTGGAGTTAGGACTCCTTCTCAGCAGATGGAGATTGATTCAGACACACAAAAGTGGTTAGAGGTAAAAGGCATAGATTAGTAGAAATGGGTTAAGTTGTAAGAGCTAGTCAGTAACAAGCCTGAGCTATTGGCCGAGCATTTATAATTAATATAATCCTTGGAGTGTTTGAGAGTGGCTGTGGGACAAGACAATTCCACCTACACACCACATCTGTCTGTATATCTCCATGATCATCATGATGATAATGGACTGAACCTCTGATAAGCAAACCCCTCAATTAAATGCTTTTCTTATGAGAGTTGCTATGGTCATGTGTATTTTCACAGCAATAAAAACCCTGACTAAGTCTGTGAAAAGCAGTTGTAAATAATTTAATAGTCACTTAGTTCATTTCTGACTGATACAACATACTCTACATTATTTAGCCATTCTCCCATCAATTAGACTTTATTTCTCAAATTGCCAGCTATAAAAGAAATACAGCTGCAATGATGCACCATTTCCATACATGTATCCTCATGAGCCAATGAGAATTAACCTCTGGTTATGCACCCAGAAAAAGAACTGTCGGCACAGAGAATTTTATCAACAAAACAATGAACTGCTAAATTGCTCTCCCAGATGGTTATAATATTCCACACCCTTTGACGTTCCATTCCATTACGTCTCAGTCAGATTGTGCTTTCTAATATATCTTCTCCTTTCTTTTCTTTTTTCTTTTTCTTTTACTTTTTTTTTTTTTTTTTTTTTTTTTTTTTTTTGGTTTTGTTTTTTTTGAGACAGGGTTTCTCTGTGTAACCCTGGCTGTCCTAGAACTCCCTTTTGTAGACCAGACTCCCCTCAAACTCACAGAGCTCTGCCTGCCTCTGCTTTCTGAGTGCTGGGATCAAAGGCGTGCACCACTGGCCCTTCCTAATATTTATTAGCCTAATGGGCATAACATAAAACCTTTTAAATTTAGGTCTCTATTACTAGGGAATTTGAATATCTGTTTGTGTGTGTTCACTCTTCTACAAATACTTTCATTTTCTTTGCAAACATTGGTGTTCCACAGTCTCCTTGTTGAACTGAAGATGTTCCATTTATATTTTAGACAGTAATTCACAATCAGGCTTAGCCACTATAACAGTCTTTGCCCACAACTGTTTCAACATTGTCTGTGTACCTGTTTAACTGAAACCCATACTTTTACGTTACCACATTAATCATTTTTTTCACCTATGGTTTCATACTTTTGAGATGCTTTTTAAGAAACACTACTTCAATACAGTTGTATATCCTTTATCTGAAATGCTTAGAATTAGAAGCATTTG